GCATGAACAGGGAATATGATAATTTCCAAACAGTCATACCTGCCTGAGATCCCTAATTTACCTAAAATGATGTACATTCGCTGTTTAGAGATGTTCTAGGATGTTCTTCTCCCCATTGGCAAAGGGCAGGGCAAGTTTATCACTACTAAAACCGCAAAGTATTTCCACCCCAACGAAAAAAAATGTTTGTGTTGTGCAACATTTCATCCAATGCACAGCCATCATTAGGATACATGCATGCTGACTACATGCTTACACCATATTGCGTTTGGGAGCATTTGCCCAGTATCATTTTAAAATTAACCAAATTTTGAAAACGCAGACACACATTTGGGTGCATGTACAACAGTGAAACATTTGAATGTTCCGTTCACAACAGAGGTGATCAAGCTGACCCTTAGCAAGCATGCCTAAATGTGATTTGGCATGGCTGATTTCCTACAGGCAGTCTGAAGTGCGTAGAGCCTGCTGGGACTCTCCCACAGCTCTGCTCTCTGCACAGGTTATGTTCAGCAAATGAATGATGTCACTGCTAAATTTACAAGGTAATAGCTGGCTTGCAAAGGCATTTGGTGCACACAAAGTCGATTTATATCCTTACTTGAGTTTGAGGGACATTTTGTGCCCAGAGCTCAGCTTCAGGAAAAAGCATGAGCAGTATAGATGTTTTAAAGTGAATAAACACTAGTGCCCCCCGAAGAAGAATTGATAACCTGGTCTGCCTTTCTGCAGATTCTGGGCAATGCTGCAAATAAACATCTGTACAGCTCCACTCTTTCCCTGTGAGGGTCCAAAGCTTTGTGGAAACATGCCAGTCATCGCTGACAGTGTGAATGTCCCTTAAAGGCCAAACCCAGCAGCAGGACTGCATTCAATCCCTCTGCAGCATAGTCAGTAGCATAGGCATTCTTCAGTTCATACGAGCCTGGACTAGCTCACTCGTGTTGGGGTCCAGGACCTTTTTATTGCCCCATGGAGACTTTTTTTTAAATGAACTCCCATCTTGACCATTTTCTGGCACAGGATTATGAATATCAATGAGCAGCACAGTGGCTTAATGGTTAGCACTTCTGCTTTATAGACATTTCAACTCTCCAGGATGTTCCGGGAGTCTCCCACTATAAGATAGCAGCTCCCCGGACACCCAGTCGCTGTCAGTCAGAACAGAAAAAAAAGGGCTAGAGTGCTATTGGCTATTTTAGTTTGCAATAGCAAGTTCTCCATCAGGTCCTCTTCTGTAGACTGACAGGGCGGGTGCAATACCCAGCTTGTTATTGGCTATTGCAAATTTAAATAGCCAATAGCAATCTAGCTATTCATTCCTATACCGTTTTTTCTTTTTTCTTTTATTCTGACGGCAGCAGCTGTCAGAATACTAAAAAAACAGCAGAGGGCACCTCCCTGAAATGACTTATTTCAGGTTGGGATCCCTGGCTTTACAGCACAGGGGGTCCTTGGTATGAATCTCAGCCAGGGAGCTATCTGCATGGAACTTGCATGTTCTCCCTGTGCTTGTGTCAGTTTCCTCCCTCACTCCAAACACATGCTGGTAGGATAACTGGCTACTGTGTAAATTGTCCCTGTATGTTTGCATGTGAGATAGGGACCTTAGATTGTAAGCTCCTTGAGGGCAGGGATTGATGTGAATGTGCAGTATGTAAAGCGATACGTAAATTGTCAGTGCTATATAAATACCTGTAATAAATAGCAAATAGATGATGATCCAGCAGCAATCCTCCTAAACTTAACACCTATAAGCATTCACTTAATGCTGCCAGGGCATGCGTCCTGAGCAGTTGAAAACAAACCACCCCTCCCACCATGGGCCAAGGTGAATTACATCAGAGAAATAGACAACCTCTCCTCAGGCCTAAAAGATAAATTGAGGAACACACCCTAATTTGGTTTTACTGCATGGAAGAATAAGAAGGATGGGCACCAACCAATCAGACATCAGAGTCCATCAAAAGTTTAATATTTTTAGAAACCATGGTTGCTGCCCATTTAATCCTTCACTTTTGGGTATCCTGTATGGGGTACCTGGTGGAGCTGCCTAAGCAGAGCCAGTGAGCTCTCAATAAGGCTTTACAAACCTTATCTGGTCATAGGAACAACAAAGATTCCCAGGACCTCTCAAATCTTTTTTTTAGGTTGGTTTTACTGCAATCGGTTTTTAAACTCCAAAAATACATGTAACCTCACCCCCTGCTCAGGGATATAAAAGCACCTCATTTTTTTTCTCTCTTCCTTTTCTTGTCCCTTTACCCTTCACCCCCAAACTTATTTCTCTTCTGTCCTTTGGGCGTGTTCACACCTGTGCATTGTGGTAAGTAACACATGAAAAGAGGGACAGAGGGATGTGGTCCAAATGAGGGGCAGTCCCTCCAAATCAGGGACAGTTGGGAGGTATCAATATAGACAAATGCTCTTGTGATGGCCCCACTGATGTGATAAGGGCTGTTCCAATAATGAGGTAGCCTAAGGTGGTTCCCTCAGACGGCATCTCTTTGGGGAGTAGTCAAGTGTTGGGGGGAGGTCATAGTGTCCCCCTTAGCAACCTGTGACGTAATAGCTGGCATCCCACCCAGCTCACTGACATCACCGGTTTCCTAGAGCTGAGTGGGATGCTCTGGCTTGAGTCCCGCCCAGCTCTTGGCAACCAGTGAGGTCAGTGAGTTGGGCAGGACGCCAGAGGCGCTGACAGTTCAGTCTTGTATCCACCACCGGCCTACAACGTCCCAGCTACCCCCTATGAGTGATCATTCCCTGTCATAACCCCCCCCCCCCCAAACAGACCCATTCCCGTCCGCCCCCCCC